GGCAATTTGACGCCTTTTTTTAAAATAGAATTTTACGACTACGAAAGCCGCTTTTTCCAAAAATCTAGAGGCGAAAATCCTCCGATTTGAAATTAAGTTTCACTTCGCGAAGAACAAATTTAAAATGTGGCTTATAGCGGCAATGGGCGACATGCTTCGCCTGAATCAACCGCCGGTGACAATCATGCAAATCGGACGAATAGGAGCGTCGCGTAAAATGGAAAACATTTAGCGAAAACACCTCGCCCCTTTCCCTTCTTATCGGCCGTTGGCGTTCACCCACCGCGGATTGTATGTGGATGCCTCGGAAAGAGAAAGAAAAATTAAGATTTTTAAAAAAATGTTGTTGATGTAAGCAATATACTTTCCCCTTAAGATTTCAAAAAACATTCACAATTGGGAAAGAACATCCCCTTTTCCATCCTCCTCTGGAAAAGTTGTGTAGATTCACATTACGATCGCGTCAAGCGTTAAGCGTAAGCCATATCCTAAGATCTATACTTCAATAGAAAATATTTCCCTTGGTTTTCTTAACCTGTTTTGAATGTTCCAATATTATTTTATAAATTTTGTGGCTGGATACGTCAATGAAAAGGAAGTCAACGTGCAACTGGTTTTTGCATATGAAATTTCTAACCAGATAACTATTTTTCTTAGTAATCCAACTTTTTTCTCAAACAAAGAACATGGAAGGAGGAAAAACACGCTTCTCAAAATGCAAGGACAAAACCTCTAAGAGTTGGTCCAATTGGGGCATTTACTACATTTATTCCATTATTACGTAGTCTGGGGTACGAAATGACGCACCCAAAAAAAATTATTTATTCCTTCAAAATTATACAAATATGACATATATTATTATATCAAAAATAAGCTTAACCAGTAAGGCTGGGATAGAAGCTCATGATTCATCTTATTTCGATGTCATCATAAAAATCTATTTCGATGCTTTTGTTACGGCGTTTGGAGATCGAAAATGCACCTCGCCAGTCCCGCTATTTTACACAACCTTTTTTTAAATTTCAGTCGTAGCTTTCCGCCGGCCAGAGTGCGCCATGTGCCATGCACTCTTGGTTTGTCCCGGTGAAACGCCCCGTCGGAAGGCTGTGTTTGCCGACGTTTCGACCCATGCTTTGTCCGGTGGGCCTTCTTCAAGGGCTGGGGTATGTCCAATGGGGCATGGCAACCCGTTAAAAGGGTCAACCCGATCATGTAACTTTTTAATTTGTCCGAAAGTACGGAAAAACATTTAAAATTAGCCTTCGCGGCCATTTTACTTGGGAAAAGCAGATTCACACCCAGATGAAACTCAATTAAGAGGATACCGTCGTTTTGAGATCAAAAATCGCAGTTGTAGGATAAAAGGAGTCTGCGTAATACTCCGCTCAATTCTTTCGGTATTTTGAACCGGAAGATCTTAGAGCAAGGTGGAATGTTAACAGAAAACCTTAGAAGTAAAATTTTGGAGGAAATCGGCTGAACGGTTTAACTGCTAGCGATGTTCACAGACTGACAGACATTTTGCCATCATTCGATATTTTTGTTTCAGAGCCCACAAAACATAGATTCTGGATACAGCACGTGTTGGAGCATTTTTTCAAAATTTACCAACTGAATTTATCCACTTTTTCGTTTCCAGGGCTCTGTAATGAGAGTTTTTCTGACGAAAATTCGCTGTTTCTTCGCGCAGCATTATATAACTTTCGCTCTTCTCCGAGAAAATATTTTCGGAAAATAGGGAGTTTGAGCCACTTCGAACATAAAGCACTATTGATCTGCGCACGCGCAGTTTAAGTTTCGCACCACGGGCATTTGCGCATGCGTAGAAGGTCAAGAGTACTTTACGTTCGAGGTGGCACAAACTTCCTAATCATTAAAACTTATAAAATCGTTTCGCAGCGTGAGCTGGGTTTAGCCTGCGCCATTCTACAAAATCTTAAAAGATGTGTAAAAGTTTAAAATAAATAAAAATAAATTTTAAAAAGCGCGAGATTAGCAATATTTTTGTTCCAAGTAATAGAAATAGACATTTTTGTTCCTGAGTTATAGAAAACGTATTTGGAAAAAGAATTGCAACTATGATTTTTCTGCATTGTTAACAAAATAGTAACTCGCACTTACCTCTTCTTCTGCCATTACAAGCAAAAAGAGAGTTCAAAAAACGTGCGCAGAGTGCAGCTACATTTACGTCCAGCTGCAAAACAATGGACCATCTCAGCATTTGATCAATGGATCAGGAAAACTGGACAAAAAACTGATCGAGATGGGGGTCATTGACCCGGAAGCTGAGGTACTTTATTTGTTTCAAACATATTAAGTGTTTTTAAAAAAATAATATAATGTAAACTAATTCATTATATAAATGACTAGTTTGTTGAAATAAACATAATTTTTCTGTTTGATAATCAGTATAGTCTCTAATTGTATAGAAACACTTATGCAGGAGAAAAGATTTTACTTTTAACTTAAATTTGTGAACCGAATGCAATTGTTTAATGTCAGAATATTGTGGCATATCTTAGGAGGAAATGTACATTACCAAAATACACGCAATGAGTTGCATGATGGCTGACAGAATTTGAAAAAATTCTAAATGCGCAACGTAATGAACTAAATTTAGTTTTTGATTTTGTTATATGCACGTTCCATTTGATGTGAGACTGAATTGAGACACCTAGAAATTTTGTTACCTGAACATCAGCTAATTGCATTTTGTTAATTTTCAATGAAGCATGCGATTGCTAATTTGAAATGCAAAAATGCATTGAAACTGTTTTTCCTTCGTTAACTATTAATTTGTTATTACAAAACCAATTTGAAACTTCTATATCGTATTATTTATTGTTTTTTTTGCAATGAACATTTGTGTCATCGGCAAACAAAACCGTTCTTCCGTTTTTAATAAAAGGGGCATATCGTTTACGTATAACAGAAAGGGGATATGACCTAAGATCGAACCTTGCAGGACGCCATATTCAATTGGTAAAGAATTGGAATGATAATTAAGTAATGTCCTTTCGTGCCAGTACGGTATTTCTACTCTTTGAGATCGATATTCAAGGTACGATTTTATCCAATCTAGGGCGATCCCACGAATTCCATTAAAAGGTAATTTTGATATCATGATGTTCTGGTCAATAACGTCAAAAGCTTTCGAAAGATCCAAAAATATTGTAATGGGTGCTTCATTTTGGTCCATTGTTGAAGCAACATCTTTAAGAAATGAAAAAATGGCAGATTCCGTAAATTTTGATTTTCTAAACCCGTGTTGTGAGTCTAAAAACGCTCGTTTTTCCTGAGATGTTTTTCCATTCGTGTATAAAATGCCTCTCTAATATTTTAGAGAAACCTGACAAAAGAAAAATTGGTCGGTAATTTTGAATTTCATTTTTGCTTCCTTTTTTTTCAAAGTGGCTTAATTTTTGCTGTTTTGAAAATATCTGGAAATATTCCTGTGTATAAAGAATCATTGAAAATGTGAGTTAACGGGTGTATGAAGGCAGGCGTTATTTCTATTTTAAAAAGGCGTCAAATGCCGCTTACAGACCGAAGAGCGGATCATTGGTTCAAATGTTATCGGTAACGTAAATTCCCCTGTGATAGTGCTGCGATTTATTGAATTTTCCCACAAGTATTTTTAGGTACATTTAGCCTTAAGTGACCGGAAACAATTTTGCGATACTAGTCGCAGGGCTCTCATCGCATTTGCTGTAACTTCATCAGCATTTACAAATCTTTGTCGCGTCAGAAGAGTTTTCAGCCGTGTAAAGAGAAAAATGTCTGGGGGTGACATATCTAGGGAGCATGGAGGATGTTCCAATGCACTAACGTTGTGCCTAGCAAGGTAATTTTTACCAATACTGATTGATGTGTTTGGTCGTTATCGTGCGAAAGAAACACAGAGTTTTGTGCCAACTTTTTCAGACTTTTTCTTCTTACAGCATCCCTGAGGTAGCGAAGGATATCTAGTAACAGTTAAGTTACAGTACGACCTTCTGGAATAAACTCATAGTGGACGAGACCCTGTGCGACAAAGAAAGCTTCCAGCATAACTTTGTCTCTACTAGTGTCCTTAGGAAATTTTTGTTTCCTAGATGTCTTGGATTTCCACTCGTATGACTGACGTTTAGGCATAGGGGCGTACACACCAAGTTTCGTCTCTAGCAATGATGATAAAAAATATTGTTTTGATAAGCAATACTTGTCAGACTGCCAACAAAAATTATTATTCCTTTGTTTTCAAGAGACTACATTTTTGGAACCAACTTTTGCGATATGTAATGCATGTTCAAGTGTTTGTGAAGAATTGTGTGAACACTTTCAACTAAAATTTCGACATCTGCCAATATTTCAACACTCTTTATTCAATCACTCCTCACAACAATGCCTACTTGCTCAATGTTTGCTTCGTTTGTCGCAGTTGGTCGGCTGCTGCGCGGTTCATATTTCACGCTATCGCGACCTTCATTGAAACGTTAGTGACAGATATACTTGTCTTTGTCATTGCTGCATCTCTATAAGCCTCTTCGAGCATTCGTAATGTCTCTGACGAAGATTGATGTAATAAAACACAAGACTTTATGTTAGAGCATTGCTCTGTAGCCGACATTATCAAGGACGACAAAGAAGCACGCACGGACAACAAAAACCAATTGCTATGGGAACAAAGATCCCTACGAGCATGAAAATTCTAGTGAAGTGTCGTCATGGAGATTACCAACATATAATAAAGAAAAATTGTCTATCGAATAACAAATTAAATGAATAATTAAATATTGCGGAAAGATTCTGAAGTTAATAATATAAAAATCACACTTTACAAAAAGTCACGTGTTCTGGGTATTTCTACAACGCGATAGTGTACAATATGCAATATTTAAAACAAATTCATCATTAATCTGCTTCAATGTCTTTTAACGTGATAATCTTGGAATCTGTCTGCATTTATAATTCCCGGTATAATTGTGACGCAACTGTTTCGGAAGCTCATGGCTGAAGCCGGATACGACTCGCTAGAGCCCCCCCGCCCACAGGTTCCCGTGGTCGAGGCCTGCTAACAATTCGAGTTCGATTTCGTGTTTACGTTTACGATATAAGTCGCCCGCTAAACCAGTGAAATCGGGCTCTCGTATCGCTTCGAGTTCGTGCTTGCGCATGCGCAGAGACTCAAAAGTGGTATACGCTAAGGTGCTTCTCGCGATATGAAAACTATTTTGGTTCTGGAGCAAGAGCACAGTGTGTGGCCTTTGCGATTTATGAAACTGTTTCTGACTTCCACTATTGTAATGTATGGCGCTGTTAATTGAAGTCCTGAAAATCTGTCTAGAAACGAGTGGAAAATTAGAAAGTGAATTTTTTTGTAAATGAAATAGGCCTAACCAAATGTTTGAGGAAGTGTTGTTGCAACAAAATATGACACACATATTAAAATGAATGATATATTTTATTGTCAGTCAGGATAGTACAGTTTTACAATATGGGGTTGCAAAGTATCAAATTTCAAGTATGAGATGTCATGCTTTTTTGAACAATGGACCATCTAATGAACTGTATTGTGTAATGGAAAATTGTATATATGTTACTATTGATATTTTGAGTGGTGGATCATTGTGTGAATGAGACCTCTTATTTATATGTTTTATTGTTAAGAACTAGCCTTGAATAAAGAAAATGGCTAATCAGGTTGTTTTAGAATTGGAACAAGCATCACAAGTTTTGTTGGTAGGTTATTGTTTTGAAATTTCTATTTCTATTTTAAATATTTAACATATGGTTTGTTTTTAATTCTTTTTTCAGTATTTTGTGCTAATAAGATCATAAAGTGTGTTTGTACAGACACTTGCTAGATTCATTTCTTTGTCATTGTTGTTTAGTTAATTTATACATGTTGAACTTGGGTGGAAATGTATGTTAACACAATTTTTTGTGGCGTCAGAATGTACCTGTACCTGTGTATGAAAAATTGGAGCTTCTTGCTTTAAAGCTAATAAAAATAAAGATAAGTTTTTGGGTTAAACAAATTTATGAAGTTATTTATCAACTCTCTCTTCCTATAAAATGGAAGATTATGTCCATAACACATTTAAAGACGGAAGGAAAAAGATGTGCTAAAGGAACATAATACAATACTTATTGATAGTATTGTATGTTAATTTTTTATGTATTAAGTCATTTTAGCCATAATAAAATAAAACTTATCTAGAGTGGAGGCTTTGGTAATGCAATAACTTTTATAACGTATGTTGTTAATGGCAAGTAATTGAAAAGCAAATTATAGCATTTACATATCTTAAAGTATTTTTAAGATTATTTTTCAAACTCTTGTGACTGAAAGCTTTTTTTTTTTTTTTTCAAATGGACTGTTGTGATATTGTGGTACTTTATAAAATCTTTGATAGTCTATCGACCTAGATTATTTTAAAATTTGGTCTTAATGTCTTTGAGTAAAATGCAATTGGTTCTGTTGTTTGTCTATGCTATGTTTGAATGATAATGAAATTACAAATAAACAAAAGAAATATAATCAATGATGAGGTGAATGTTCAAAAATAATAAGTGTAATATAAATATATTTGATTAAGTGTAAGTAATGCACATGCTCTTTTTACTTGTAGGTAATTGTAATGTCATGTTTCAGTGTTCGTTTCATTTTTGTGTAAAGAATTCAGATAAAATGAAGTCAAATCTTGATTGATTAACACAAGGGGACATTATGTGCACAAGGGAGCTGTGCCCCTGAAAACTTTAAAAGGGACCCCGAAGCCTTGGGCTATAAAAAAAATTATATTTGTAAATGGGATTGTTTATTGATTTCCCAATTTTTTTAATCTGACAATTTTGGGAATTGTTGTATAACACTTGAGGAAAAAGCACTCCAAGGCATCTTTCAACCTTGAAAATAGTTAAACACAAAATCAATTGTATTTAGTCATTGTATGATTAAAGTTATAATTTCATTAATCTTGTTGTACATTTTATTTTTCTTTTACAAGAAAAATGCATTGTGTATAAGTAAATGAGTTCATTTGAACAGGAGGTCTGGAAAGGTAGTTGGGACCCTCCCCCCTCTTTAAGGTTGTGCACTCCTATGTTGTTTAAGTATTATGTACTTTGGGTAAGCGAATTCATGTTTTTCTATGAGAGTTGATTTAATTGTACTGAGGAATTTGGTTGTGGTTACAATTTTTTTTATCTAAAAGGAAGTAAGACCACTGGAATATAAAAAAATTGATTTAATTAATCTCAAGGGAAAATGTTATAAATTGCCTTTAACTTTATGTCTAACGAATGCAGTTATTGAATAATTGACAACCTCTTTCAAGAGTATTTACTTCAATACCTACAATGCTAATATCTTTTTTTCATTTGCTCTGTAGGCACCCCCAATGCTAGTATCATCAGAACAGCGACATGCTGCTGAAGCAGTATTTTTGAATTTCAGAAAATCAAAATCTCCATATGCATTATGCAGACATATTTTGGGTAAGGGATATTTTATAAAGTATATTTGTCACATTAATAATTATTGTTATATATGTTGAGAATTATCCTGGAAATTGATGTATTGTTTGATGGAGATTTTCTTCCGTATTGATTTTGTTGTTATTGAGGATGCTTTAATCTCCTTTAACTATGTGGCTTTTGATTTTCCCACCTTTACTTAATATTTGTTGATGTAATATTAATGTTACAGTGAATATTACTTAACATATCATTTTAGGTTTCTAATGTTTTTGGAAATATTGTGGTTTTGCAATACAAAACAAGAAGTTTTTTGTCTGATGACTGAAAACATGATCATTCATGTTTATCTATTTCTGGTCTATCACGTTCTGATGTCAGTTTTGTGAAAAATAATTTATGAGCAGATTTGAAATTGTGAAATTACTTTATTTTATATTTTAAAATGTTGGTGCAGATAAGTGGATGACAATTTTGCTATTTTAAGAACGCTTTGTCAAAACATGACATTAAATTATTATACAGTGAAGTTTTTTTTTTTAAATTCAGTGATAAAGAAGAACTCAAAAATTGCCATGATTAAAATTGTGAATTAATTGACAACTATCTTCCAAAGAAAATGTGCAGTTTAATTCATTTATTGCACCTACCTAATTAGCCAGTGGTATGTTTTTTATTAGTGACATTGTTCTGTTAATAGGGCAGACCCGAAAATATTTCTTTTATGTGGAATGAGATTGAAGAGGTGTCTAAACTAAATTTGATGCTCTAAAATCCAAATCTACCAATCATTGAATCTTTAGGTGTTTTTAACAATGTAAGGTGAAAGTTTCCAATTTATAAAGACTTCACAATTTTTCCTTTTAAATGTTAGAAATATAATTGTTTACAGTCAAGTGTATCAGTTTTAAAGTTCTGCAAATTTTTATGAATTGTGATAAATAAAAACAGTTCTTAGATAGGAAAATTTTTGTCCCCTCTTGATTGAAAATGAACATTGACTTTATATTTGTTTATATCTATGCCATTTGATTTTCCCATTGTTGGTCATGAATAGTAGTGCACCTAAGGGGGGCTTACAAATCTGTCATCAACTAGAAAAAAATGAATTTTCTCATTCCAATGCCATTTACAACATTGCCAGGCAGTCTTTTCATCTCAAGTTCAGAAGAAGAAAAGAGGAGAAAAAAAAGGTTTTATTCTCCTCAAGGTAGCTTATTCATCTCAAGTACACAAGATAAACAAACAAACAATAATTAGCTTTTTTCTTCCACTGGACTCTTAGTATTTGTTGGGTATGCATTTCACTAAACCACAATTCGCATATTCTCTGTGATGGTAGCAACAGTATTATAAATCTTTGGAGTTCCTTTTAGTCTGCATCATTGAGGTCTTAATCATAATAGTTGTCATTGTATTTTGGGAGACATCTAGTGAGTGTGGCATGGCTTACTGGTTCTCCATAGTTGTCTCCAAGGAGTCTTCTCTTGTTACGCAAGGAAGCAATGAGAGACCCAGCAGTACAGAAACAGTGAAGATTTGAACTGTACATTAGACAAATAATAGTACTAGATCATTATAAATATTATTTAAGGAAAAAATGATATTGAACTAGAAATGATAGACTGTGAATCTGCACTGTGATTAATGTCATTTTTGTAAGCAAGACATGTTATATGCTGTATTTCGCAAGAAAAAATTTCATTCTACAAAATCATTGGAGCCCAGAGGTAGTGAAATAGAAAAGATTTAATGAAAACTGATGATTATATAAAATATACACCACACCAAAGAAAATTGGAAACCATAAAAAAAAAGCTGTGAAGAGTTTTAAAAATAAAGAAATTCAAAAGCCAGCAGCAAAGCTTGATATCTGAATTACTAATCTGGGGAAATGGTTTTAAAAGTCCAAAGGGAAATTTTTGATTTTTTATAGAAGTAGCACAGACCCATTCAGAAGTAGTACAAGGTGTATCAATCTCATGAGATTGATAATGATATTCAAGATAGTTCTACAATATAAAAAATAAGAAAAACTTTATTATGACTCAAATGAAACTTTCTATGTGATTAAGGGGGGAATTGATAGGAAATTTGCCAAAAGAAAAATATATATATGAAAGAAAGATTTTCTATTTATTGTGAGTTTCAAACCAAATTGATGGTCTACTTTTATTAATGGGGTATGGTTGGAAATGGAAACAAGACTCTTTGAAAATGTAATGTCAACTATATGTACAGGTGAAAGACAACCATCAAAAAAATGTATTACAATCTTTCACATCTTGAAAATGTGAAATGTATCAAAAGTTAGTTGCTGGGTTTTGAGAAATGTCAGCTCTTTGAGGCTTGTCTGGCAATAATTCATCTGCAGAACTATGGCATTGATCTCCAATGTTTGTGATGTTTCAGTGGAAAAAAATATTCTGAGAATGAGTAATAAGTGATACTGTTGTTTCAGAATGAATTAGTTGTAAATTATTTCTTGTCCATAAGTATCTTTTACTTCAAGTTTCATCGTATTATTTTTCTGTTGCTTTGAATTGGATTTCAGAATCAAGTTCAGTGGATTATGTTTTATTTGAAGCTGCTGGTCTCTTGAAGGAAGCATTGATTAGAGAGTGGTCTCTTATGCAAGAAGATGATATTAAATCATTGAGAGCCTATTTATTGCAATATATTATGCATAAGGAATTACCACGTTTTGTTCAAGAAAGAATTTTACAGGTATTTGTTCTTGTAATATTATCAAGTTGTCTTGTGGGTATTTAAGTACTTTTATTACTCTTAAGGAAAAATAAAGATGTTTATTCTAAGATGTTAAATGTTTAGTTACAATACATTTATAAAAAAAAAATGCTCTTATTTTCACTCCTATTTTAATATTAGTTGTTTTGTTGAATCATCTAATCGGTATATACATATTAAAAAAGAAATTGGCTTATTGAAAGTTTCCTGAAGAGTTTTGAGCTAATTTGAATTTAAAAAGTCCCTTTGAAATGTTCATTATGAGAAGTTTATGTTAATGATTCTCATGATCATTGAAACTTGGTCTTCAGTCTGACTTTAAAAAATAGAAATTAACTCTTCAATATGATGCCAAAATCTTTGATATGACAAAACAGTGAATGGAACATTTGTGTATGACTAAAAAATTGAATAGGAATTTTGCTGTTACAAAAAGGCAGAGTATTTTAATGAAAAAATGACGGAAGTGAGAATTAAAGATGACAAGTAAAACTTAAAATTTAAATTTTGTTTTTCATTGTGATTCTTGATTAAAATTAGTTACTTCATGAGAGTGTGTACAGTAACCAAGAAACACACTAAATAGCTTAATAGTAAAATGTTGCAAAACTCCTTACTGTAGACTCCAAGTCATGTGAAAATTTTAAGTAACTTAATAAAGGTAGTTGCAATTGCAACAGTTTGGTTAGGGATCAGTACATAGCACATTTTTCAAATTTACTCATGTTTCTCTTCTTCATACTGATGAAAAAGTGTGTGCAATATAGTCTACTGAATTCCAGTGTAATTTATTGGAGTTAAAAACTTTAAGATATTTTTATGGTCAGCTGTGTATTTTATCCAATTATGCATTAATTGATTTGCCTTTATTATGCTATTTTATATATTAATTGCCTTTTATTGTATTAGGTTATTGCTATAATGGTTAAAAGAGGAAGTGTGGAAGACTTTGGTGTTGAACGAGAAAAGATATTATCTGAAGTAGAGCAGCTGATTTTAAATGGAAATTTCACTCATGTAAGTATTACTATTTACTATATAATTTTGTCCACTCAATGATATATTTGCATCATAATAATAACACAAATCATTTTTGATTGTGTTGCAAACAAATCATATGTGATTTTCTTCTTATAATTTTTTTTATAGCAAATATTGGGTTGCAATATAATATCTGCTATAATACAAGAATATGCTACCACAGTGAAGTCATCAGATGTTGGATTGACTTGGGAAGTTCATTTTCAGGCCAAAAAGCAGTTTGAGGTAAGGATAATTGCAATATAGCATATTTACTTGGTAATTAAATCCAAAAATACTACAAAATAAAAGGAATATTCTCATTATAATTTGGAAGAAATAGGTCCCAAGAATCATGGTTAAAAATACATAATGTGGCATCAAAACTAATACTCATATATGAATCAGAAATATGCACAATGAAAAGCAGAGGTTATCAAAGGTTAGAAGGCACACAGATGAGATTCTGTAACGTCATGAGTAGGTAGCCAGACTCTTGAAGTACTAGTGTGTGTTGGAAAGCTGGTGTCATCGGGGGGCTCAGAGTGAAGTCACGTGCCTTTCAGCAAGGAGGCCTAGTTTCGATTACCGTTGAGTCCCGGACAATCTCATGTGAAATTTGTTCACAAGAGAAAGAAGTGTCCTATCCCAATCCTAGTTCCTTCCCAATTCTGACCGCTGGACGTGTGACATAGGAGTGTGTAGTAGGAGGCCACTACTGCTTACCTGGAAGGTGGACATGTATTCCTCATGACACTGCGAGTGCATTGGACTGGGTGTCCAGACACTGACGCTGTAAAACGTCTGGGTGGAGGATGCACTAGCCAGGGTGTAAGATGCCCTAGAGCAGTATGCATGGGAGTAAGATGTTGATAGTGAACATAACCCCAGAGCTGTACATTGTTATAGAAATTTTTTAAATAATTAGATTGTAAATAGAGGTTGTGTCTGTGTCTTCATTTCGGTACCATGACACCACAATTCCTATGACACTTTGTGGGAGTTGCCTTGAAAGGTCAGTAAAGACATCAGAAAAAGACTCGAGACAAAAAATATAGTAGAAGAGATAATGAGGATCAGAAGAATGACTCTCCCACATCAACAGAATGAAGGAAGAAAGACTACCAAAGGAGGTGATGCGATTCAAACCAATAGGGTGAAGAGGCATTGTGAGACCAGAACAAAAATGGATAAATCTGGAGGGTTAACCTCCAAAACTACTCGAATAGTAATTAACACCAACACGTGATAGATCCATTAACCCACACTTCTGATGATGTTGATGATGATGATGATTGGTAGAAATGTTGAATGTCTCAAAATTAGACATAAAAAACAACTGTATTAGTAATTTTTGCAAGGAATGAGAAATTGATGATTAGTTGATGTGCTAGTGATCAGTAGTTTATTTGTAGATATCTGTTGGAAAAATGTTTTCAGATCATGATGTAGATAGCAAGAGTTTTTTTTTTTACTTATTATTATATTTAGCTGCATGAAGTCCTATTAGAAATCAATGAGTCTTTTACCCAGTTCCATTCGTTGCAAAAAAGAAAACTAATTTGCTTGTTATAGTGTTATTGGAGTGCAAACTGAGAATTACAGATTAGATGTTAGAACCATTTTAGTGAACATAAGCGCACATGGTCCGCCATTATAATATTTTTGCATTTCATTTTTATATATGCTTCAACTTTTAAATCTGTTTTCTAACCTTTCCTATTTATGTTTGTAAACTCCAGACGATGTCATTGACTTGTGATTCTCAATTATAGACTTCAGTCTGAGGTACTTCAGTGTTGCTAAAATTAGCTTATCAAACATCTATTAGTATTGTAACTCAATTTTTAATTGTTTTTAGCAACTTATTTATAATTAACTTAATAAATGAACAACTATGGATTTTGATGAAAACTAAATTTTTATGTTGCACTATTTAATTTGTTTAAACAGAAACACTTTTAAAACAAATTTGCTTATTAAAGAAAATTAACACATGTAATGAATTTTATATTAAATAAGAAAATTCTTTATATTTCTCAATACTTCTCAGATCTTTAAAGGGCTTGCTTGTGATGAAGTGCCACTGTTCCTGAAAATATAAAGTAATCAATTGAATGACTGAAAATCATAATAGTACATGACATTTTATAAATTCTGAAAAATTTGATAATTTAAGTCGATATCGCTGTGAAGTCAAGGTGCTTTGTTTCATCATTAAAACCATGGCATTTCAATTGTTCGTTAAAACCATGAAAATACATAGCCACTGAAATATAGTCTAAAGTAAACACGTTTATCCCAGAATTTATAAAATGTTACTTATACCGTGTTGGTTTTTGCCTGTTCAATTGAAGTTATTTATGGTATTGTAGTCAAACTTTAATAAAAATTTTAACTCAAGATCCCAACCTCCTTCATATTCTCTCTCTTCTCCTCACCTCACCTCACTTTCTTCTTCTCTTCTCTTCTCTTCTCTTCTCTTCTCTTTTCTTTTCTCTCCTCTCTCCTCTTTCACTGAAATGAATATTCAATTTTTTTCTATTTCATAGTAAATTGATAAAAAACTTTCAAAACAAGAAAGAACAAAAAAAAAGTCAATTAGGTCTTAGGTTAATGTAATTTTTTTTAATACTTACAATTACATTAAAGTATTTTATGAATTAGTATTTAGACAAGCAAATGTTCAGTTGAAGTTAGTCAGTGCGCAGTTAAATATTTAAATTCTAGAACAGATAAAACAAGAATAATAAATATATTTATTAAAAACAAAACTATCTCCTTTGAGTGCACAAGGCAACTCTGCTAGGAACCCTAGCCTGCTTAGTTGTTTTGTTGTGCTATGATCTTGGGCATTTTTGTGATAACTTTTTATTTTGAGTTTGTACTTCATGTTCTCTGCTCTAAGTGTATTAGCAAAGATTTTTTTAATTTGTGTAGTATTAAAATATTATATTCATGGAAAATAAAATTTTTGCAAATGTCTATATTTAAGATTGAAAGACAAGTTACTGAAGTAATGTTTGTTTCTTGATCACAGAAATTTTCTAATTTATAATACTGTGTGAAGTGAATTTGTTTTAAAGTGAAAGCAGAGAAATGTAAATTGAGCAAAAATGTTGATCTAATGAATGTTAGTGTACCAGAATATGATCCAAAAGAAAGGTGGGCAGTACATACAAGTGGTATAAAGTATTTAGAAATAGGTCTTTCATTTTTTCTTCTAATTTTTTAGCATGCTAAAATGAATTTTTTGTTTCCAGGTGACTGATTTGAAAAGAATATTTCGGTTTTGTGTACAAGCTTTGAATCAACTAACATCTTTGAACCCACCCTTCTCCGATGAAATCAAAAATATCTTGAAGCATTTATTGTCAATTACTGAAGGAGTTTTGACCTGGGGGTTTATTTCAGCTTGGCATATCCTTTCCATTTACATATGTCTTCCAGTAGAGTGATGTGTCAGTTTGAATTGACAAGTTGATATGTGCTTTAAATTAACTGGTTTTTAAATTGATAACTATATTTTATTTTCATAAGGATCTTTATTTTCACTGCTTTTATATCTGCATTAGTTAACTGTCAAATTAATGTCTACAAAGAAAGGTGTGATATATCACTATCAATTATTTCCTTGTATCTCAGTTCTTGCATTTTTGTCTTGCATTGTTTTTATACAATTGTTGGTTTTGTTGTCACTTTCTTTGCATTTGTTTGAAATTCTGTTTGTGTGTTACTTCCTCTTGTATGTATCATTTCTCATTTGAGATCCATTGATTACATTTTTTCGTGTTTATATTTTGTGTATTTCAGTCTTGTGATTGAATATAAAATCTTCCATTGCGAGGAAGTTTGTATTTTTTGCTGTTAAATAGAACTAATTTTTATTTTCTAATTTAAGACAAGTTTTACTGTTTGTAGACATATTATCAGTTGCGTGGTATGTAACTTATCACTTTTATTATAGTTTAAAAGGCTCATGCATGTGAATCTATTCATGATCTTTTAGTGTCTAATTCAAGTTATATTATTTTAATATTAAATAAAATATTTTTAAAAACAGGGTTGAAAAAAAAATCTTCGCCTTTTAAGTCTGATAAATATTTTTGTTTTAATGTGTTTTCCTTAATTTTCTTACTTCCAAAACGCTTAGTTGGTGTTTTTGAAGCAGTGTATGAATCGGAACATTCACCTCCTTTGAGATTAGGTGCCCAGTGGAGAGAAATAGTACTTGACCCAACAGTAATTAACCTCTTTTTTACAGTAAGTATTTTAAGAACTAGATTCTTTTTTGACTTGATTAGTTGTTAGGGTGTAGAAATTTACTGAAATAATTTAGCATTGGAAGATACTTGTGTTTGCAGCTACCTGTTATCTATGATTTCTTCACTTGTAATACAAGATTTTTTTGTATGTAACACCTATTTTAGTAATTGAATTTCTCTCAACTTACATTAAATTTTACACAGTAATCACTTGAAGTGTCAATTATTACTGTATTTAAGTCAATCAGCTTGTGGATTTATATCTAAATAGTATGGTATAGTATGTAGTGATTGTACTTTTGTCAGGTTCACTGGAAAGTTCGTGAGAATCCTGGATTGGCTCATCACACAATGAATTGTTTAGTACAGCTTGCATCATTGAATGGCAATGTTTTTGCATCTAAAGAGGTTCGCTTGCAGTATCTTGCAAATTATATAAGAAGTTTTCTTAATCTTGTCTCAAGGTTAGTTATCATTAAACAATAAAACCTGTCATGTTCCTGATCATTGTTTTTCAACTTCTTTATCCTGCTTGATGTCTTTCCAACCTTTTATATTTAGCTTTCTCTTCTAAGGAGGTGGTAGTAATTATAGTACATTGTGTGAAGTAAAATATTTTATTTTTAATCTTTAAAGTAAATACAAAATATACATTCAGTTTTTCTCTGATCTTTTGTGTATAGTCATAGCTACTCATTGTTTGAGTTCATAAGTCACCGGAATGAAACCTGGTTCATCCTAATTAGGAAGTAAGCAATCTTATTAGAAATTATTTTTCTTATTCCTAAACCTATGGAAAGTTGTTTGATATTCTTTGTTGAAAATGATATTTATCTGTAATTATGCTTACATAATGATTAAAAAGCAATTCCTTAGAAAAACTGAATGTAAGTGCAATTTATTTCCATTGTGAAATACTTACATGTTGCATTCAATTCTTTATTTGGTTGATAAGTGCCGTACTGCGGTAGTTGGTAATAGGTATTTTCACCGGTTACTAGGGCAAAAGGCACATGGTTGAAAACCTCTGCTTTAAACTTCAATATTTTTGTTTTGTCCAAGTTTGCAGTTAAATTTAAAGCACACATAATTACAATATAATTATACTTTATGCTGATAAAAAACACATATTTGTAATTTAGCAGTTAATGAAATAAGCTAATTTACTCCACAGTGCCGAAGTTGTATTTTCTGCAGATGAAAATTTAAATTATTATTTTCATTTTGGAAGATGCGAGAAATTGAAATTCTGAAGTCCCACATGTACATTATTAGAGTCCTTATGGTATGTGCATTTTTATAAGAGGCTGTGAACTTCCTGATTCCTTAATATTACGTTCTGAATAACCTTCTTTTCCTCCTCTAACTACATTGTATTAGTTCATTTTGTTCATTTGAGTGCTGGCACTCAAATGAGATCTGAGATTAGAGATCTGTTTAATTTTGTATAAATCATTTTGCCTCTTAACCAAAATTTATATTCTGTTTGTGGAGGCGAGTGCTAGATATTTCCTTGTCATCTCTTAGAAAATATATTTTATTATAATTTAAAAAAAATCATTGTAGTTGTAAATGTATTTTGTATGAGATGGAGATTACATTGTAGAGTGCCAAATAATTTGTTTTACCATGTATCTGTGCTAAAGCAGAATTAATTTTTAACAGCATTAATGTATTAGACCGAGAGGCTTTGGGGATATCCAATATGGTACGGAGACTGCTAATAACTTTCCCACCATCATTATTGGTGTCTCTCTCTAGTGAACTGCTGCAGTCATTCTTAAGCCAATTGACAGACTTGACCTGCCACTTTGCTGAAGGTGCTGCTCAAGAAGAATCGGTGAGTTGGTTAAGGCATGAAGAATGAATCGGGAATTACAAAAATACATACAAATTAAATATTTGTTACATGAATATGTATTTTATAAAGAAATTTGATACTAACAATTAATTTTCTCACATATTTTAATCGGTTGAGGAAATTATTCACTGTATTAAATTTACATATATACAAATAAGAAATTGAAGGGCTCAGTTAGATATAATCATAAGCAACTCTCATGCAGTTTTGAGATAGAGCTGTTTGGAAAACACATGTAAATCAATGGAGAGTCAGTCATTTTAGTTCAATGTTGTCATGCTTTATAACTAGAAAATGGAAACCTATAATACTGAGTGGAAATATGGTTGCTTAGAAATAATTGAGGTATGGTTAACTGGAAAAACTCAATTGAGGTTTATTTTAAACCATCTATTTAAAATCATTTTAACCCATCCAGTTGTTTTAACAGTAAAATCATTGTGTGGTGTGAATTATTTATATTTTTTTGCTAATCTTGAAAACAACATATTGTAAAAGTGATGAATAGTTTCATAATCAGAATGTTGCCTCCCCTCCTGTTCCCAGTAAGAGTGGGTACAAGAAATAACTGCAAATAATCATGATCAGTTGAAGTGACAACTTTTACTGATGAACACTTTTATAAACATTTTGATCATATAAACTTCATAATTTTTGTCTTTCAATAGTTTTTGTAATGTTTCTCTGAAAGGCCTATGCAGAAGATAGATTATACATGGAAGCTTTTGATCATATGCTGGAAGCATGGATAAACATTTTGCAAGATTCACAATCTTTTACTCGAGATTTTTGTAAAGAATCATCAATACGTGTGTTTAATACTTACCTGAAGTGTCATCTTTCACCACCAGATGGAACTCGGGGACAGGTAAGCATTGTGTTTACTTCTTAAAATTTTGTTATTTTTAATTCGTAAAGAAGTCAGAACGTATACACAGATGTACAATCTAGAAGTGAGTGCTTATTTCAAGCATGAACTATTTTTATAATGTACTAGATGAAGTACCTTGTGTTGCCAGGTATTTATTAATTATAATTATTCTGTTTCCTCTGGCCAACCCTGCTGTTTGCTATGATTGTCATTGCTACCACCATTGTTGCTGTGGACAGCTGTAAACAGCTACTTTATTGCATACTTGTGACAAACTTCCTGTAACAATTTTGACCTACAATTACTCTTACTTAATTGCTCTATTGGAATGAATGAATTTACATTTAGTGGGAAGTTTTGTGGGCTTTCAGAAATATTGAATTCACTTTTGTGAATTTACTCACTGTTTTTTAGATCTTGTGAAAAACTGAAAGTGTGTTCATTTAAGTATTGTTCTAAGGTGTTTGAAAGGGCATTTTTGAAAGATCTTTTTTGACATCCAAGTGTGGTAATCTGCAAAATGAGATGAATTGTGTAGTGAAACTGAAAAAGTTTCTTGTGAAGAGAACAGTGTCTTCTACAAAAGGTAGCTTCCGTCATATATATTATAATATTTTGTTTTTACTGTGACTAAAACTCAAGAATTCTCTCACAATGGATTAATTTCATGCACTGGTAATGTTCCAAATCATATATACCTTCATTTTTTTCATGGTAATTAAGTGAAATTTATTACCCACATGTAAATAAATGACCCTGCTCATTTGCTGATGTCACTTGTGTTATAGTCAAAGCCAAATCGTGGAGGTATTACAAAAAGCTGTATTAAATCTAAATGTGGGAGCCGAATGGCTGAATAAAAACTACCTTAGCTTTAATATAACAAAGACTGCCTCACTCAGCTTTCTTAGCTGAGTCCACATTAATTTAGTTGCTCAGTCATTTCTTGGTCAGCCCAGATGTGTACCAAATGTGGCATTTCCCAGTTACCAAAGTTAAACTATTATTAGATTAATTTTTAATTGTTCAAATCAGAAGTTATTCAGTGTTTAATCAAATATATTTAATTTGCAGGATCAAGAATTGGATAGTGAAGATATTGATGAAATAGAAGAAGATGATCGTACTAGATTTAAAGAACAGTTGCAGGTTATCGGTTCTTTTGGGAGACAAGTGAGTTACACTCAATGGTCATTTCCATTTGAATTTTTTTGTTTGTTGTATTGTGATTTCTGAAAATTACCATTCTCTCAATTACAATTTCCAGTTATGATAGCTCAGTTGCAACAATGTTGCCATTGCATCAACATTGATTGGAGGGTTCTAGGGTTTCAGTATCGAAGGTGGCAGATGTGCGGCGGCGATGGTGTAACTGTTAGCGTATCAGACTGTTATACCCAAGTTGGCAGGCTCAAACCTGATCGAAGCTGTGAATTTTTAAGGGCGAAAAAATCCTTCATAATCCTTCCTTCGGAGGGGAAGTAAAGCCAGCTGTCCCATGTTAGTAGATTTACTTGCCTGTAAAAGATCCTCAAGCCTCTGAGCTAAATTCAAATCGCCTGTTTCATCGCTGAAGAAATACCTCCTTTCTTCACTAGTGGGTGAAAGGAGCGTAGTTAAATTTGCGTGGTCAGATGAAAGAGCAGGCCTGATGGCTCGAGTCTCGCCATGTAAAATAGGGCATCAATTCAATTCAATTGAATTCAATGTGTGACACTGAAGCAAATTCAACTATTGTCTGGACAAGAAAGCTATCTGTCAGCTGTACTGATTGATAGTTTTCTATGGTTTCTATGATTGATACCAGGAAAATGGCCGGAGTAGTACCCTAACAAACGGGCCTCTGTCAACGTGCTTTCCTTCATCATCTTTGTCACCTCCTGTCTCGTTAGACATACAGGCCAGGAGCTTAGAGCTTGCCTGACTGGGGCAATATCCCAAGGTGGATTACCTGGAGGGAGAAATCCCCACAAGGAAATGTATGGGTTGGTGCTGGATGCCACATTTCATCAAAGGAGGAAAATTGCCACCTCCCAGAATATAGCATGCGCTACACTCACAGGACTAATGACTTCAATAGTTGTTGTGCCTGGAACCAATACTCCCTACCAAATACTATTCTCAAATAAAAATTGACCAAATATCTTTTCTTTCAGCTCCTATAACATTTAGCTTGTTGGTAGTTCATTTGCTTTTGCAGGATTCAAAGATTGATGCCAGTAATTATTTATAATAGATAGATAGTGAGGTGAATTTTGTTTGTGACGCAATAATTCACTAAACCAGTGGTTCATAACCTTTTTCCCTCAGGGCCCCCAAAATGAGGGAGTATATCATTATTCCCCCCAGCTTATTTCTTCTATTAAATATAGAAGCAATTTTTCTTTTCAAAAACTTCATTACATTATTCTCTCTGTTACCAAATTCAGATCAACAGAAAAATTATGAAATAAGACAATGTGCACTAAGCAGCTAACAATAATTTCAAGAAAATTAAGAATTTAAATTACAAAATTCATTGTGATGGATGAGCTTGCTTTTGACAAGAACATTTCTCAAAATGTAGTATTAGAGTATAAATGGCCACTCAAAATTGTTTATTTACATTTAGCTTTGAACGGTACTTAGACTTCATAGCTAACAAAGCTGAGAAACCTGTCTTGCAGAAGTAAGTTGTTGCAAAAGGAATCGAGGTCTTTTTTGCAATTTGGATGTTCTTTGAGTATTCCTTGCTAATATGTATCCAAAATTCAAAGAAAGGAAATTCATTAAATTTACTCTTTAATGATGTATCACAAGTGAGATCAATGGGTTGTTGGTGCTCTTTTATATCTAAAGATGATGATGGTCCAGGAGCATTTTCAAACGGATTTCTAATCTAGTTAAATTTCTCCAAATCATTGTAGAAATATTTTTCAAAATGACCTTTTAGCATTGCAAGATGATGAAGAAGGCAACATCTTTATCAACAATTTTATCTCCATTGGAACTACTGGATTGTCGGTATCCTATAATAGTGACAGTAGAGTAGGAAACATATCCAGCATGTCATTTTCTATCTGATTATGCCACAGCTCAAGCTTCTTCATGAAAGCCTTTACTTTTTCATTCCAAGTTAGTACAGTTGCCTGATTCCCTTGTAGTGAAGTATTCAAAATATTAAGTTTTTCAAAAATATCAGTGAGGTAGCCCATTTTCAAGAGAAAATCTTCATTGCTGAACCAATCTGCCAGAGAGTGGCCTTTCAGCTGTAAGAAACAAAATACCTCGTTCTGTAGTTCAACCGTTCTCTTTAGCACCTGACCTCTAGAAAGCCATCGAGCATTACTAAAATGAGCAGTTGAGTGTGTTGAGCACCCAGCTCCTCACATAACACTGAAAAGCATTGAATTTAATGGGTTTGCCTAATAATATTCACTGTTTCTATAACCATCTGCAGCACTTCATGAAGGGGTGAACTAGGTTCTTTGGCAGCCAGAGCTTCTTGATGCAGTGCATCCATATTGCATTGGAAGCTACTGCTTTAACTTTTGCATGCAATCCTCAGACATTGAATGAGTTTCCACGAAGCCTAGCGACAAATATTTCTCGTATCTTCTCATTGGCACCTTCGGAATGGAACCCTCGCCTCCCTCAGATAATGGAGCACTGGTGTTATCCTTTTTTGTCACTAGTCAGGAACTGCTTCATTCTCATGTAAAGTTTGCCTCACGATTTACGAAAGACTCAGGGGTTGTTATTTTACACGAGACAAAGCTTGCTCTGTACATTAGTTCGCAGAATGCAACATTATAAGGTAACGAGTTACAATCGCAGAGGAGAGAGGTGCAGCTGAATGACGTCGTGTTTGTTCCAAAGAAAAGGAAAAATCATAATGTTTTCTACTGAGAAATTAGTTTTTCTCCTTTAGTATTTTCCATTGATGATTTTACATTTTCAAGAAAATATGCCACCCTCCTTTCAAGGCCTTCACTCCTCCACCCCTGGGGGTCGTGCCCCCCAATTTGAGAACTACTGTATTAAACTATCAACATGAGCTAAAAAAATTTCCCTTTTTGAATTAAAAATTAAAGGCCTTATTGATAAATAAGAAAGAGTGTCAAAGTATGATAATTTGCTCCTCTCAACTCTTAAGAAACTGTCATGTTCCACATCGGTATTTCACTATATTTGTACTAATTTTCCAAGCTACTCAAATTTGTCTCTTTCAGATGTTGTCACATTCTGTGCCTCTTCTTGCTCGTCTTCTTGAAGATAGAGTGCGTCGTTTGAGAGAACATTTGCAGACTATGCATACACAAGCACTCAATATCTCTAACACAAGTGCATTGGATTGCCTGTTTGAAGATATTCATTGGCTCATTCTCATTGCAGGTATCTTGTACAATTTTGAAACTACAAATGAAGAAATGTATGTATGTTTTGAGAGAGGGAAAATTTTAGAGACATCCATCCATCATTCTCATATGGCTGTCTACTATTCCTGCTGTCCTTATCTGGCTTGGCTGTCTGTTGTGTCTGTATGTCTGTCGTTCTGTCTTCGGTCTGTTTCTGTCTATGTCTGTCTGTCTGTCTATTTGTTGTAGTATGTATGTATGTATGTATTGTCTGTAATGGCGGCTGTATATCTATTTATCAACGCTTCCCAGATTGAAATTTATTACACTGAAAATGTCTTTTCAACATGAGATCTATTTTTTTTCTTTTATATTGTTGTCTATGAAAAATTGCTTCAGTAGGAGTAATATATGATGAAAATATGTAATAAAATTCTAGTAATTTGACAAAAGCCTTGTGAATTGCTAAGTACAGATTCTTGTGTTGAAGGAAACACTATAGCAATGGATAGTGAAGGAGAGACAGCTCTTATTCCTGCAGAAGTGATGCTTTATAGCATAGAACAGGGCAAATCTGGGCATATGGATATAAATACTACGCTGAAAGTTCTTGGATCCCCAGGAATGCAGTTACAAGAAATACCTGGAGCAGATGAAAGTTCAGATCATATTGTTAGGTGAGACTTGTTGATGAAATAAGATTTTATGATCTGGTCTAATGATTTTTGAGGAGAAACTGTACCTAAAACAGTGATTTATTTTTAAGGAAGAATAATTAAATGATTAGCTTAAATTCCTAATTTCTCCCTATTTATTGAAATTTACTTCATTATTCTTAGTGTATCCTTGTTCTTAATGTATCCTTGCTTCACAACAATGCTACTGTAGTTATGTGTCAATGTTTCAAAATAATCTTGTATATTTTATGAATATTGTTAATTTTTGCTCAAGAAATTCTTTTTAAATGTGTTTCAGTGATTTGCATTTGACAACTATGAAAGATGTTGATTGCTACATGAAATATATTTTCTTTTATTAGGTTGGTATCTGCAGTTTTCCGACTCTGTGAAGTGCAGAATTATGCTATGGAAGCCAAACTGTCACGCATGTTAAGTCCTGAACTGTGCTGCTCTGTGATGTGGTTTTTACGCAGATTGTCTCTGTCTTATTTACTCCCTAACGAGAGCTATTATTCAGAGGTAGTTTACAATATATTTATGATGAAGAATAGAACATACATTATCATTTAAATCCATTAGCATTATAAAATGAAAACTAAAATTCATTAGAATTTTTGTACAAGGTACTAAGTTGGTGTCTGATATAAACTGCTTTCTACCCAAATTTATTGTGTGGAGTGTTCATGATATGGAAATTTCAATTCACTGTCGCTAAAGTAAAGAAATCTTACTCTCCACTTATGGATGTGTTTGCTCTTATTTAATATATGGAACAAATATATGTTGAAGTAACATGCACTTAAATTCCCATTTTGTGGCACAAAAACTGACAAAGTGCCCCGCAGAAGTCACAATAGGAACAAATAAATAAGTACCTTCTGTGACTTCTGCGGGACACTTTTGTCAAGAAGTTTGATTGACAGTTTTGTGCCACAAAATTGGAACTTAAGTGCATGTTACTTCAACTTATATTTGTTCTATATATTAAAGAATTCTTAAATAATTATATCTGAGTTGTGTTTAAAATTCCTGCTATCATTAACACATTGAATCCACCCACCAAGGCTCCCCATTATTGAAGTTAGGAAGATCAAATTGCTCCATTTACCAGGCCTCTAACTTTTTACTTTTTTATTTGCAAACAAGAAAAGGAAATATGTCAGAATTTAGTTTGTAAAATTTAACAATGTAAATTTAGGCATTCTTTATTTTCTGTTATAATGTATAGTGCTATTTTGGTGTAATATAGCCAGCTTGTTGGATGATTTCAGATGAGTATGGCCCTTGTGTCAGCTTTTGGTAAGGATTCGGAAGGTGCCACGTGGACAATGAACTTCTTGATGAATACTATTGAACAGAATTTACAACACTTTTCCTCAGAACCTGCTCTTATTAAAGACACTGTTCTACTACTTCTTGCTCTTGTGGATGTGAAAGAAAAGTAAGAAACTTTACTGCTTAATAGGTTCTTAAAATTTCCTTGCGTTGTGTAAAGAACACAATTGTAAGTCCTGAATAAGTACCAGAAAAACTCAAATAAAAGAAAACAAATTTAAATATTCAGTTCATAAGATTACTTTTCAACCTCAAAAAATAGTGGAAAGAGGAGATAAATTTATTAATGTTTTAGAATGATTTAAATAACAGCTTAATGTTTCAGGGGGCAGTGTATGCTGAAAACTAAAGCATTTTGGAATATTCTTCAGAATCATGCAAGTACTGATAAAAGCCTTTTGCCTCAGGCAGCTAAACGAGGTTTATTTAAAGCCTTTGTTTTAGCAGGTGCAGCTGTCGAAGATGCTGGTAATCGTTCTGATTATTGGGTGCAGGTTAGTATTCTATGCTTTATGCAAATGGCATAAAGTGTAATAATTTTTTAGCATAATTACTATCCTTGTTTAAGGTTTAAATGTCAATTGTAACTAATAAATTGTAAGGTTGCATGGCGTATACAAACTTTTCACTTTGGTCTTGGATATGATGGAATCATACTTCTAACATATGAAACTTTCATGAACAAATTTCCCAAAATTAACTAGCCTTACACTAAATATTCTGGAATATTATTTTAGCGGATTTTCTCAAGACAGTGTTTTACTTTTACTTCCAGTAATTTTTATATTTTAGTTGTGTTTTATTACCAAACATTCATTATTTTGGCAGCTGAAATATTAGTATTTAGAATTTGCAGTATAATTATTATAATTTTATGTAACCGTTACATCTATCATATGAAAGTCTGAACATTTTGTTGCACCATTTGTTTTTAAAGAACGTTAAGTTACCTTTGGAAATTGAATCTCTGCATTTTTGTTGCAGTAATTTAAGTCCAAGGGATAGATGGGTGTCTCAATTGTAAGGATTCTATTTTTGATTTTTTTCTCAAATTTTTCTAATTTTCTCATACTTAAACAAAAATTCAGTGTGCTGTGGTAAATTATCATGTTATAAGATTGGTACCCTTTTAGAACCCAAATGTTTAATGTATTTCATTACTCAGAATAAATTTGCTAACAACTCTTTCTAATGTACTAACTATTCCAAATTTATTTACCTAAAATTGGTTGGTTGGATTGTAATTTTATGTGATAGTGTATGTGTGGGTTGCATGTGCGTGTGTGAATTTACTGAAATGTTTTCTATGCTTTATGTTTGGCTTGTTTAAAACACAGGAAGGAGGGAAATTATTTTCTATGACTTATTCCTAGACATAACTTCAAATTTGTAATGTAGAATATGTATAATTTATATTTACTTTGTAATTGTTTTGTAATTGTAGGTTCTGAAGCCTCTGCAAGAGAGATTTAAGGGAATAATATGCAAAGAAAATTTCAATCGTATCTTCCATGAAGAAAATGTGAAATTGGAATTGATTGATATTTTGGAATCTTTTATTGGTAATTATTGTCTCTTAATTTTAGACTGAGGATTTTATCACCAATTTTTTTGTAGGGAAGATGATAAATTCTGTTTCATGTCTATATCTCTACAGGTATTACATTGAAATTTAAGAATTATTTTGGATTTTATCTTTATTGTTTTAAGATCTTACTTAAAATGGTGGTTTAATTTATTTTCAAAGTATTTATTTTAGAAAATGCTAATGTTTCATTACATTTAAAAAAGATTTTTAGAGCACTGATCTTTTTGAAGCAGCATGTATACTAGTAATCTTAGGGAACATTTTCCAAATTTTTCAAAAAAATAGAGAAAGAAAAAAGAGAGAATGGTGCAGATCTCGTTTCTGTTGAAAACTGATTTTTCAAAAATTGCAAAAATTCTAATTTTTTTCAGCGTTCGTCTGATTTTTTTCCCTTAATGAAATCTGTTCCTTAAAGATTGATTTTAAAATAAGGTCATGTACAATTGTTTGAAAATTTGAGTACTTTTCATGTAATTTTGTATGAAAGTACAGTTGAGAAAATATGTGCTGTTTTAGCACTACTAGTTTTTACATATGCTTGCTGTTCAGCTTTAGTGACTTCCATCTAGGATACTAATGTTTGCATGTATTGTCTACTAAACACCAATGCACTCGGATGTCATCAGATCATCACATCCTCTACTGTGTAAACCATGTTTTCAAATGTATATAGTGCAATAACCACATTTGCAGTTATTATACGGTTATTAATATGTAAAATAGTTGCCATGACTTCTGAAATGACACTCCTAATTAGGCTGGACCACCTTTAAAAGTATGTGCCATTGCAATATCTTTAATTTTTGAAAATTGAGACGTTTATTGAAAGCAGCTCTTTTGCTTGTGAATTCAGTGTATTGTGTTGTATTGTCACAAAAAGTGTAAAGAAATTTGTCTTAGCTGGTATTTGAACTCAGTTGCTTAGGTTTCTGAAGCAAGCTCATTACCTCTACTCTATGTTTGAGCTGCTACAATGATTTCTTAACTTTACAGAGGTTCTAACACTGAAGATGCCTAATTGTCATGTTGCAGGTATCTTAAACGAAAATACTTGAAAATTACTGGTATTTTCAAAGAGACATACCTATAATGATTAATAGATCTAATATTAAGGAATAGATTGCATTGAGAAATAAATCTCTGGCTTCAATTTTGAAGATGTTAGAAATGCTAAAATTTTTTTTTCTCATTTTTGAAAGTGCAGAGGTTTTTAATAAAAATTGGAGATCTATCATATTTATAAATCCACTTTTTTCTATTTAAGCAAAGTATTTAAGGTAAAAAAATGGAATTGTTTTTGAGAAAATCTTGTTGACCTAAATTTGGAAATAGTCACTATTTCATTCAAGATTATGAAAAAACTTCTAGCATTATGAAAAAATTCTTCATGACTTTGTTTAAATACCTTATTTTGAAGAATAAATTTCAGTTAGAAGAAATTTCTAGCTTTGATAAAACGGCCAAAAAATCTTTAAAAGTGTGTAGTTTTTCAAAATTCAGAGATTTTACTGAACATCTTTCTATATTTATATCTACTTTTCATTTTATTTAAGCAAAAAATATAAAGAACAAATTTCAGCATTTTTTTGATAATTTAAAAAAAAATCATGGATGCATCCTATAGAAAACTTACAAGAAATTGAAATTATATTACAAAGTGTTTTAATTGACAGGGCGTCGAGTTCAGGCAGATTGATTGGTGAATGTCTGTTTGAGAAAAATACTACTTGATATTTAGATTGCTAGAGTTATTCGCAGGAAGATGGATGGAAATCTGAATAGTGCAAAATAATTTCCAATAGAGTCACTGCATTAGTCCAAAATTGACAAGAATTGAGTTAAAGGTGCCACCTTGTATTGTGAACTTTTATACTTATTGACTTGACCTAAAGTGTGTTAGTCCCCAAAAAACGAGCAAAGAAAAATAGGTGAGCTAGGAAGGTGGGTGGTTTTTCGCATTTCCCACAAATTAAATTTTGGACGAATGCTGTTTTTCAGAGAAGCCCTTCAATTTTGCCATTGTTTAAGGTTATATTAAGGTTATGGTTTAATACATTGTAATTTGTACTGAACAGCATGATGTGTTATTCAAATTTATTTATTTTTCTTGAAAAACAATTTATGTTAATAATAAATATGTGTAATTATTATATTTATTTATTCACAAATTAATGGAGAAACAGTAAGGAGCCTGAAAATTTTACATTTAATTTACTTCAGAAGAGATTATAGATTAAACTTGTATTTTATAAAATTATTTTGCATGAAAATTAATATTTATTTGATTTTAATATACATTTATCTTGTTTACACTTTATTTCAGGAGTGGCTCAGGGTTCACAAGTGACAACCGTGCAGTCTCTTTTCCAGTTTCTTCATCCAATGCTATGTGAATTTTCAACATTGGTCAATGTTTATCACAATTATCAACAAATTGTGGAGTTAATACTGGAGTTGTATTGTGAATGTGCTCGTGGTATGCTGTGTTACTTAACTCAGGTAAACTGTAGATTTTTAAGTGATATGAAATTGTTTTAGAAATTCTCAGGTTCATGACCGAAGTCAAATACCAGAAATTCTCTTAACTTATTAAATATGAAGATTAGTAGATGATGTATATTTTCAATCATTTCTTGACTGTTCAAGAACTTTAACCTTTAACTTTACAACAAAATGAACTTCAGTCAAGATATTCCTTTAGTAACATCCATTTATGACCTTCTAATGTAAACATAGCCATGTGGATAAGGGTGTGCTGGTTATCTGAAAAACTGACACACAGTCCATTCTTCATTGATTGGGCCTTTAATTTTCGCTATTTAGGTGTAATTAGGAAGTTTTGTGGAGTTCTAGAAACTCTTTGTAATATGTTTAAAAAAGAAGATGCAAACCCCTTCTCCGACCACCTACCCCGACTCCCGAGACTCACTTTGAGTGACCTCTTAGCCCATTGAGGAGTGTGCAGGAGAAATCTGTCGCCGGGGTCGCCCCTTTGGGCAACAGAGACATAAACGGAAAAAGGGGAAGAAAAAATCCCCTTAGAAGTAAGAAACTTAACATCTAAAACTTATGGCTCTTCTCTTTGAACCTGAATGGATTTTGCCGTTTAGATGAATTGAAACTGTTAATGTCTCTGTATAGACCCGTTATCTGCTTGCAGGAAACACATCTTCCTGAGCATTCCCTCTCTCTTCGTTGTTTTTGTCACAACCAGAACTTAATCCTTCTGAATACTGATGAAAGCACACATTTTTCCGTGGCTTCATACACTTTCTCGTCCATCAATATGGCTCTCTCCCATCTCTCTCTACCATCTTTGAGTGAACTGTCCTTGGCGACCTGCATGTCAGTGACCACTTCCTCGTTCTGGTCAATTTCAATATTTCCAACCCAAACATTCGTCATCCTCCTTGCTGGCTGCAAGGTTCCACTGAGTTCAGTGGGAAACATTCGGGAAAGAAATAAGGATATCGGAAATCTGCCCAAAGGACATTGACTGTATTGTTGCCACTTTTACTGATGTTGTTCTTCCTGCGGCCTCAATTGCCATCCCAAAGTTGTCAGGTCACCCACGACATCCTCTTGTGCTGTGGTGGAATGCCGACTGTGCCACCACGGTGGAAGTTCGGAATGGGGCATTGGCAAAGCTTAGTAGGTTCCCAATCATGGATAATCTGATTAATTATAAAAGAACACGAGCCACAGCCAGATTGACCATACGGTAAAGTAAGGCCATGTCCTGGATAGCCTATATTTAATCACTTTCTTGCTGTATGCCCCCTTAAGTAGTGTGGCCAAATGTTCGACAAATCGGTGGAAGATTTCCTTCATTGTCTGTCTCAGGACTTCTGGTAAATGGAAATCTTCTCATCTCACCAGAAGATATAGTTGAAGAATTGGCCTCTCACTACAAGCATATCTCCAACTCCTTACATTACTCTCCTAGCTTTCTGAAGACCAAAAGAAGATTGGAGAATTGCAGACTAGATTTCTCGAGTCGCATGGAGGAAAACCACAATGCTCCTTTCTCTATGGATGAATTTTCCTGTGCCCTCGCTTGTGCAAAAGATTCTGCTCCAAGACCAGACCAGATACCTAATCAAATGCTTAAACACCTACTGGAAAATGCTTGTTCTCATCACCTCCCTTTCATTTTGATTCACCTTTTAAATTTGATTTGGGATTTGATGAGTGTCACTGTTTGCCATTGCTATCAATAGTATCATGTCAGTAATTCGAGAGCCTGTGAAAGCATTGCTCTTCATTGATGACTTTGGTATATTCTGCTCCTTGAAGAGCATGCAAGTCATCGAGAGACAGCTACAGCTTGTCCTCAACAAATTGCAAGAGTGGGCGATAAAACTGGATTCAAGTTCTCCACCTCAAAATCCAGTTGCATGCTCTTCTGTATCACCTCCATAATCATCCTGATCTCTTTTTAGGGAGTTATCAACTTTTCTTTGTTGAATCTGCCACTTTCCTTGGCCTGATATTTGACAAGAGTTTAACATGGCAAAAGCACATTCAAAACTTGAAGAGATGCTGTGTATCTCCATGGAACCTCCTTCCTCCTCTTAAGGTAGATCATGAGGCGCAGACGGAGTATATCTTTTGTGCCTATAAAGGACTATCATTCGTCCTATGTTAGATTATGGGTGTGTTGTGTATGGGTCAGTGTCTCCATCGACCCTCTGTTCATTGAATACCATACACAATGCCAGTATAAGGATAAGCACAGGTGCCTACCGTACGAGTGGCATTGAATGCCTGTTGACTGAGGCTGGTGAAACATCCCTGAGCCGAAGGCAAGATATTGTAATCGGCTCCTATGGTGCGAAAGTATCAGCCATAAATACTCCTTCGCCCCAAGCAGTTCTTCACCCAAGTTACCAAGATATCGTGCGAATTCAGACCATCATTACCCCCGCTTCCAGGTATCCATTTCTACACACTCTTGCAAAAACTCGATATAAAACCCCCATCCCTGTGAAACCCCCCGAAACCTTGTTCCCCTTTGGAAGTTTTTCTGGCCTAAAATAGACCTGAGATTATTATACTTCTCCAAATCCTCAACTCCCCCCAGTACATTTCTGGTGGAATTCCAGGAGACGAAATTCATGTATCACAGCTATAATTTCATATACACTAATGGTTCTTCCCAGAATGGTAATGTAGGGTGTGCCTTCTACTGCCACAGTGCCATGCGAAGTCTTCAAATAGACTCTTCGTCCAGCGCTTATATTGCAGAAAAATGTGCGCTCTTGGAGGCACTTAAGTTCACTGAATCAATGACATTAAAAGCAGGTGTAATCTGCAGTTCACTCGCTCGAATCTATCTTCTGCTTCTCTTCTTGTGACCCTCTGACAATAATTGTCCAACACCAAATCCATTATTTACTGGTTCATCTTTATAATTTGTTGTTTTTGTTGTATCTCTGGTCATGTTGCGATAATTGGGAATTGCTGACCACACAGCAAAGCTCGCCACAAAGAAAACTGTGGTAGACATCCTCACAGTCCCAACAAACAATACCAAGCTGTTTATCAAATGTATTCTCAATGCATGGCAAACAGAGTGGCAGATTTCAAGACTTTAAACTCATGAGAATCAAGGATGCCTTAAAGCCTTGGTCTTCTTCATCTTGTGGATAATTCTCACACGCCTTTGGATCGGTCACTGTCATTTCTCCCACGGACATCTTTTCCACGGTGACCCACCCCCTACTTACGATAGTTGTGATATGGAACTTACTGTGGAGCATGTTCTCCTGCACTGTTCTAAGGTAAGAGATAGCTGGCGAAAGCTTCACCTGGCTAGCTCTCTAGCACAGGTACTTGGAAATGACAAATCTTCTCTCTGCAAGCTTTTTAGCTTCTTAAGAGAGTCTAACGTTTACAGCATTATCTGAAAGATGAGGGTTATGACAATTCTTTGGCTAACAATTGGAGATATTAAAGTGTTAATCTGCCTCTATTCAGCCAACCCTTTTAAATAATTGAACATGTTTATTTTCAGTTTTACATTCATTTTTACTTTGGAAAAAAAAATAAAGTTTTAGCCTGGCACTGCTGTAGTGCATATTACTCTTAAAAAAACAACAACAATTGACACAAGCGCCAATGACCTTAGCTTTTGAAGCACCTTTAAACCTTAATCATCATAATTTTAATTAATTTCCCTTTGTTTTGTACCTCCTCTACCTATCTGTCCAAACTGTTTTGTTTCTACAAATGTATTATTCTGGTTTTGCTAATTAGAAATGTCATACTTTTGTTCTGTATGTACTTGTGTTAACTTTGATATGAGTAAGTGTATATACTGATGATTATTATGTTTTTTCAAGCTTAATGGTTCAGCAAATTTTAGTTCTTTTTTCAGTTCTTTCCTAATTGTTTCATTTCAAATTTTGCCTCTTCTTGTTACTCCTAAAACTGTCCTTCATCTGAGCTACTTCTATGTTTCTGGTTTCCTTTTGGCCCATTATCCTTGTTTCTATACCATACTTTAGCATTGGTTTTGATGTAATAATATATTACACTACATTTATGGAATTAATGATCTCAGCAGTTGACTTATCCAGAATCACCATTCAATCAATTAATAAACAATATTAACTGAAAGGACATTGAAAATATGTTTGTTGATAAGTTTGCTGCAGGGCATTTCACTATTGGGTATATCCTAAAATCTTTTATGATTCTTTTTCTTATAATGCTGAAGAGAATGTAACTTCGTATTGTTGCTCTTCAGGAAAACAGGCAGTTAGCATTGAAGGCGTGTGCACAGTTGATCGGCATTTATTCAGCGTGTTGTGTATGTAAATTAAGTATTATATTTACGCATGAAATGTCTGTGTTTACTAACTTAACATGAATTATCAATCGTTCTTTCTTTTACTGATGAGTAAAAGAGCTCTCTCTAATGTCAGTTTATTGTGTATTCGTTGTTCCAACCAATTATGCAGGCTAGTAATTTTATAGTAAGAATGGAATGTGATGATATCCATTGCAATTATTATTGTTGTTGAAAAATGTTTTTTCTTAATTTAAGAATATTTATGATGTACTCTACATATGTGAAGGTAATGCCTTTTTACAGCAGGCTCTAAAGGATTCTCACAATATATTTTGAAGATAATAATTCAGAACTGTATGACATGAAATGATACTAAGAAATCCAATGAAGCAAAATAATTAAATTTAAACGAGAAGAAATCTTCACAAATATTCTGAAATTTTCATTTTTATGAAACCGAAAAATTGGTTTAGGGCAAATGCCTATCTGTCCATTGGTTGTCAACTTTTAGTGCCTAATCCAAAAGCAGAATTTTCATCAAAATTGATATTCCCTTATCAATCTTGCTGTAATTGAGGCCCTGCAAATTTGAAATGGATATTTTGATTTTGGGGTTTATTTACATGAAGTTCGAATGTTTTCAAAATCGGCTTTTAAATTTTCTATGAATTTTTTTCTTGGATGGAGTTAAAGATGCTTAAAA